GGTCGCTGGGTGCGTGTGTGGAGCCCGCCTGCTTCCCCAGGCGCGGGGGGAAGGTGGGGAAAACGGGGCGAACTGGGTGCCCGCTGGACGCTTGACTTGCTGGTCAGCGCGAGATAGGCAGCGAGCTGCTACGTGGCCCCTTTGGGTGGTTGAAATGCTGACGCCGTTCGGTCGGTCTTCCAACATCTCTCAGGCTCCGGGAGATTGAGAGCAGCACCTGTTGTCGTTTTCTCCTTAATGCGAAACCTCTCCATCGTCAGATCGGGTCTGGCGGTGAGGTAGATCCTTCTTGCTGGTGCCACGTCAGTGCTGCGCTTCTGCTGCGCGGTTTGCTGCCTGGCTTTGGGGGAGAAGGACGCGAAACGAGGTGACGTGGCGGTGTCTGTTTTCTGTTTTGCAGGTGGCTCAGCGGATGCCATTCCAGAACATAACGAATTCCTCTTTCCAGAGTATGAAATTTTGATAGAACCTGAGGAACCAGAAGTCCCAGATGACAGCGCTGTAGATCCCGGTGATGAACAGGGAGCTGCAGATGCATCACAGAGCCCGGAAGAACAAGAGGAAAGCAGAGCTACAGGCAGTGCAGGTGGGAATGGGCTGCTGTCTGTCCCTCAGGAAGCCCGTGTCGCCATCTTTAATAAAACACAAAATACTGTGGGTTTTAAGGGTTCATGCAAGCTCCTGGTGACAGTCTGCAGTCACGTGTAGGCATCCTGCAGTTTAAGAGGAATTCAAGCAGGAGACTGTTCTGAGGCTGTTTTAATTGCCCTTGAGGTGCCGGCCCTTCCCCCCCCACGCCTCCCAACTCCACACCGGCTTTGCGGATGCCGAGGGTGGGGAGCTGGCGGGGAAGGTGGCTGGGTGCCCAGCTCTCCCGTCCCGTGGTCTGAAGCTGTCCTGAGGCTGCTGGGTGCCCACGTGGATGCGAGGCTGCAGCACCACACCCCCTGCAGTGCTGGAGACTGAAGTCTGGCAGCCATCAGCTTGGGTGGATTAACCCCTTCCCTTTCTAGCGTCCCAGTACTGACCTCTAGGTTTAAAATGCAACTAAAACTCGTAAGCGGATCTGCTGGAGCTGAATAGTAGGTCACAGGAAAAGTCTCTGTGTGATTTACACCAGGAATGATTCTCGAGAGCAAAATGCACTTACAGGTACAATATTGTCTTTAAGCTGTGGCTGTCTTGCATTAGCCCCTAATGTTTGGGGTGGGTTATTTTTTTCTTGCTTAGGTGAAGCATTCCAGTCCCTGGATGAAGAGACATTGGAAGCAATGGCAAAACATGAGACTGAAGAAGACAAGATCTTCCAGATGTTTAAAGAGCGAGTAGCTGCCGAACCAGAGCAGGTCAGGGGATGGGGCAGGTGCTGGCACAGCGTCCTGCTGCGCCTGCAGAACGTACCCGCGGTTAGAGGTGGCGATGGGGGTGCCTCCTCATCCTCCACCCACCTTGACCGACACCCCCGTATCTCCCTACGTGCAGAACTTGGTTCTGCTGAAGGAAGAACTTAGCACCTGCTCCTCCGTCTCAGACAGACGCTGGTCGGGATGGGAGGACACGGGGCGCTGAAGCCAGCGTGGGGGGGGACCTGCTGTCCCCCGAAGCAGTTCTACCTGAAGGAAGCAGTGAACCATTGTGCTGCTCCCCAGCCCTCGGCCCTCTTGGCTTTCCTTCTCAGCAGAACCAAAGCTGCGGAGAGGAGCCCCGTCGCTGTGACTGGCTGCAGGGGTGGGGAGTGTGTGTGTGTAGGTTTGGGTCTTCTGTAGGTTGAAGAAGTTAGTGATGGCGTTGAAATTTCAGCTGATTAAAACAGACAATTCCCCCCCATGCTAGCTCTTGCTACCGCAGGAGGCTGAAAGAATGACAGAATGGTTTGGGTTGGAAGGGACCTTAAAGACCATCTAGTTCCAACCCCCCTGCCATGGAAGAAGCTGCATATTGTCAAAAAAAACATGGCTCCTGGTTCCATTCAGAGGAAACACAGGCCTAAATCCATGGAAGTGGTGGAGGATGAAGGAATACTCTCCATGTTTTACCTGGTAGCTGAGGGGTCAAGGCGCACACCCGGAAAGTAGAAGACCTTGAGCCTGTGCCCTCCGCTGCTTGGCGTAGGTGCATCACCTCCCTGTCTGGCCATCCCCGTACTGACTGATCTGCGGGGGTGTCCTCTGGTTGATGGTGGCTCCTCTGCTGTACAGATGTTTAGATAGCAGCGGAACAACAAGGGGTGTGAATGTCTGACAGTGCCTCCTCCTTGGAGGTTGGGGCGGTCCCCTTGCACTCAGGTGCAGAACTGCAAACAGAAAGAGCTGGGTTGCATTCCTGACTTTGCCGTACACTTTAAAGACCATCTAGTCAGTCTGCTAGTTATCAGTCTGCTAATTATCAGTCCGGCTTGAGACTTTGCATTTCTGGGTCCCTCAGAAATACGAAGTAGTACAAAAATGATACAAATAAGTTAGAAATACGAATTGTTGCAGTTCATCCCTGGATCACTGAAAAAATGCCATGTGAATACTTGCAGGATTCAGAGAGTTAAACTTACATAAGAACCTATCTTACTTAGAATATTGCGTTTGCAGCGTTCGGATTTTGCCATGGGAATAGACTTTGCCATGGGTATTACTTAAAGGAACTGACCACCTTCTGCACCATCTTACAGCTTTGTCAGTAAACACCAATTTTATACCAAGATGAAAAAAAAAAAGTCTTGAGAACTTAAAACTTCTGCTCTGTTTCAGATTATTAGATACTGCAGAGGAGGAGAAGGCCCAATCTGGGTATCGGGTGAAAATATTCCTGAAGAAAAAGATATCCCAAATTGTTTATGTGGTGCCAAAAGGATTTTTGAATTCCAGGTATGTAAATTCATTTAGAGGTAATGCAGTTCAGATGTAACAGGATCTAACTGTTGTATCTAGTCAGTTGTAAATAACTCAAGATAACTCAAGGTCGTTGCTACAAACTTGACTATGGTAAATTGTGCACAGATTTACCTCGTTTACTACAGTAACTGCTTTTTCCTGTAAGTCTTTCACATGCAAGAAGGCAGGTCCCCATCCGACAATTTGCATCCTCAGTAAAATGGCCAGGCTGGATGGGGCTTTGAGCAACCTGGTCTAGTGGAAGGTGTCCCTGCCCATGGCAGGGGGGTTGGAACTGGATGGTCTTTAAGGTCCCTTCCAGCCCAAACCGTTCTGTGGTGCACTTGTGAATATGGAGCCATCTCTAAGTGACAGGAGTCTGGCACTGTATGTTTTTTTAAAAAGCCGTCACCGTGTGGACTGGAAATAGGCTGGAAGTACTCGGCTG